CTAAACAGCTGAGGAGTTCATTACCAGAAAATATGTCATGTACTGTCGACTTGTATTGTTGACATTCTCAGTTTGCACATGCATAATTGCACATTGACTGCTGACTGCTGCACATGCTGCTCCCATGCAGCATACATTCTCTATTATATTCTTATATATTTTTATTATATCTCTGCATTTGCTGCTTAAAGTGCCTTAGATTTTGTTACTTATCTACTTTATATTTCATTTGTTTTTTGTGGCATTCATGTGGACGGCAAAGTAAGAATTTCATTGTACAGGTAAACACGTTTCCTAATTGTGCATATGACAAACACTTTGACTTTGACTTAACATCCGTGTGAATGTTAAATCAGTGCAATAGACTATTCTTGAAGTAGCTCCTATGTACTGAGCAGGAAGTGGTCAGAATCAGTTTTGAAACTGAAATGCATAAGGATTCCCTGTTGTTAGTGCTTACCAGGATAATTAGTAGAGTAAGGAGCTCTATGTCTGTAAGGGTGTAGAATTGCTCAGTGTCCTGTCTGTTCTTGGTGGCTGGCAATAGCTGCGCTGCCTTAAACGTCACTAGTGTGCTGGTGAGCAATAGCCTGCTGTCATTGTGCATGATACAGTGAAATAGCCAGGCCTTATAGCTGCACTGCGTAAGAGGTTTATGTAGTAATAAATTTGTTTTTGATCTGCCTAATTTACACCAGCATGGCTGTAATCCACAAAAGCATCTCTCCTTGTGAAATTGGCTTACATTCACTCGTCATCCCTAATGAATTTCTGAGGAGAAAAAATCTCCACTCACAGCATGCGACCACAAAAAAACTTTTATTTGCAGTCTATGACCAAAAAGTGCCCAAAGATGATGAAACTGGTCTGAATGTGGATATATTAATCCACCACAAGTTGTTCCTGCTGTCCAAAATATCTCAGAAAAAGACTAAAAAATTGCCAAAATGATACACAAAATGTAATGGAGCAAACTCTGCACGGAAGAGGACTCAATGTGCACCACACAAAGGCGTAGATAACAAAGGATGTTTATTACACAGACAGAGAGGTAAACCGTCTACCGGGTAGAGCAGAGGACACTGGGCGCTGGAGAGGTGAGGGAGAAGCAAGGCACTAGATTGGTGTAGCTGCAGGGAGAACTAGGCTGGTCGCTGCGCTGGTCTGGAGGGTAGAACCGGCATCTGGCTGGAAAGGAGGACCGCTGCAGAAACCAACAAAGACACCCAATGCCGGGGAATCAAGGCATACTAGGACAGAACAGCCAGAGGTTAATCATGGTAGACTTTACAAGGACCACAATACACGATCAGAGACAACGGACTGGCGATGAAGCACGCCAAGGCCCGGCTTAAATAGAGCCAGGCTAAGTGGACACAGCTGTGCTTCGCCTAACAGTCCGTCAGAGAACACGTGAGTTGGTGAAGGTGCCTGCAGCGATGTCAGGGGGAATGGATGGACCAGGGACACCTGTCGTGGACGTAACACACAACAACCAAAAAGAGATGCAAAATATCCTCAGACAGAAATCATCCACCAAGAGACCCTAAATAACTGCCTCGTCGATGCATAATGACTAAAAAAAGATGCAAATATTGCTCAAACTCAAAAATAACCTACTCAAAATAAAAACTGTTCTTCGACCCTTTTGATTACAGTCAACCCTGGTCTCATTGGAAAAGTAGTTACCATTCTAATGAGACAGTGGGTTTTTAGAAGTGCAAAAGTGTCTTGGAGGCTGTGTAGTCCAGAGTAGTGGTGGGATACAAGATGATCACGAGTGGTTAAATTATCACAGCAAGGTTATTAATTGCAGTGGCCAAGAGGAAGGGACAGATTTTTTTTTTTTTATATATATAATACAACAAAAGGATAAAGAGCATTATTGGGTAGATATGAATAATGGCACTGTGACACTGAAAGAGACTAATTTATGGTCAGATATGAGCAAATCAAAAGCAGCACAGTCAAAGTCCAACACCAGAGCAACAAGCATGTCAAGAGTGAGACCTTTTAAATCGGTTGGAAAGTCAACAAAGTGTTGGAAGTTCAAAACGGTCAAGCCAAGACATACGCTCCCCTGTGAGTGCATTACTAACAGTATCCACATGTTAGAAACGTCTAGTAGAATAATATTATGGGATAGGGTACACAGAGTAGTTTAGTTAAAATAGCATTACTATATTTTGGTGGTAAATTTATGATGGCATGTTGGCAACTGTTGGTGTTGGACTGCTGGACCCCCCCACAAAAAGAGACTTGTGAAAATGCCTCATGCACCTTTTAATTTGACTTTCATTTGAGATTGTTGGTCACCACAACAATTGGTGGTGTTGGACTGCTGTATGTGTCTCCTAATTAGCACTGAATGTTGTGATACAATACAATACAATAACCTGACACCATCGGCTTTATAGGTTCATTGTTTTTGTAACATACCAGATGTACTATGACTACCCACCTCCAACATACCTGGAATATCCAATCCTCATTGCTCAAGGTGAGTTGTCTTAAGTTACGTTTAAAAGGTGTCATGTATAAAATTTTTGCAGGCAAAATGTCTTTTTTTAGATTCATTATGCCTTATACTTCACTCCACAGCCCCTGTATATTCAAATAATTAAAATAAGATCTCAAATCACTGTAATTTCTCTTGTTAGAGGAAAACAGAGAGTAAATCTGACAGTCAGGATGTGACAGTAAATCAACAGATCATCCACCGGGCTGAGGTGTGTACTAATTCATGTCATGTGAGACACAGTATTACCACAATCACATGTAGTGTAGAAACAGAAGACTTGACATGGGTCTCGGTTGTATGTGGCATTAAGTCATCTTTACCTTTACTGATCCTTGCTTATAACTACAGTAACAGAATAACCGTCTTCCTGTGTGCAGCCAAGATCAACCCCTTGGGGGCTGTAACAGAAAATACTGTCACATCTGAACTGAAGAGGAGAACTATTAGCTTCTAGATGAGAAGCCAGCTCTGTGAAACATCAGCCCACTGATCATGTGCTCAAAGGTAGTGCATGTTATAACCTGCCTTGTCTCCTCAGATGTTATTCTTCTGCTCCTGATTCTTTACTACAATGGTAGCCTGCAGCAGAGTGTCATCTACACCTTGGTGTATCCTTCCACTTATCACTTTCACTTTCTAGTACTAATGAACAACTAAGTTTTCATCCACTGTTGAAGAAAATCAATGATCAGTTGGCCTTTGTTGATACTTTTCCTGACATGTTATTGCCTTAACATAATGTGTTCAGGTTGGTCGGGGGTTGGAGGCTCCTCACTGTGGAGAAGTGGATCATAGATTTAGCTATGGTAAAAAAAAATCTCAGTTTGACATTAATCACAGTCACAATATATCACAGAGTAAGAAAAAGAATGACGTCATCAGTCAGGAGTCATGATATGAAGATTTGAACAGAAAGTCCCTATTGTACCTGGTGTATCTCAGGAAGACACCCAGACCTTATAAATGCCAACTATGCTTGTTGCTTAATGAGCTGAATGAATATGACAACATTTATACATAGAAACAGGTGAGAGCAGTGATCCTGTCTCTGCTTTCTCCTTTTACAAGCTACAGACATATGATATATGATCATGGAGAAACACTGGGGACCAATTCTCAATTCTGACCTCCACTCTCTTCCCAGAGCTTGTGCACATTCATCAGTGCAGCCAGTAAATTTGCACAGCTGCAATGCCTTTGGAAGTCTAAGGATGCTGGACAGGTCAGCGCACTCACCTGGGCTATGGCTACTTACACATGTATTGGTGAGTGTCATGTCCAGTGTACTGTTCATAAAACACAGTCCTCAGTTGTTGCCCTTACCTTTTCCCAGTTTCTTCAAATGATCTCCAGATTATTTTGTTAGTTATTGGTTTCATGGCAAAGCTAATTTAAAAGAAGTATTATCTAATTACTGATGCTGCAATTTCATTTGTTTTCCAGTGGCTGTGTTGTCTTGAAAGCCCAGTGCTAAACTTTTTTTGTGCCAATATTCTTTGAACCTGAACAGATTAACAGAACTTTAACAGATTTTTTTGGGGGGGATACTTGGGATGTGAAACCAGCTGTAAGCACTGACAGATTATCACCTTTAAGGTTGACACGGCAAACATTTTAGCAAAGTGTAGCTAATGTGCGGATCTATGTGTTAGTGACCCTTTGGTCCTGTTTTCTGGCCACCTGAGGAGCGTCTGTCTGTCCACCCTCTTTATGTCTCTATGCTGGCCACGGTCATGGCCAGAGGAAGCATGTTTTCATGTTGTTTGTGCATATGTATGTCCTTTTCTTGTTAGCATATCATCTCAGGAACACCTTGAGGGAATTTCTCCAAATCTGACACAATCAATCACTGGGACTGAGTGATGAACTGATTAGATTTTGATGCTTATAAGTTAAAGGTCAAGGTCACTGTGACTTCACATCTGTGCCATTATTGTCAAAGTAATATTTCTGAAATGCCTGGAGGCAACTGCAACTGCATCATACATCCGCAAGGTGCTATTTCTAATATAGCTCAGTTTTTGGTCTCCACCAACTCCTAAGGAACATACACTATATTGCCAAAAGTATTCGCTCACCTGCCTTCACATGCACATGAACTTGAGTAACAACCGATTCTTAATCTATAGGGTTTAATATGATGTTGGCCCACCCTTTGCAGTTATAACAGCTTCAGCTCTTCTGGGAAGGCTGTCCATAAGGTTTAGGAGTGTGTTAATGGGAATTTTTGACCGTTCTTCCAGAAGCGCATTTGTGAGGTCAGACATTGATGTTGGATGAGAAGGCCTGGATCACAGTCTCCGCTCTGATTCATCCCAAAGGTGTTCTGTCGTGTTGAGGTCAGGGCTCTGTGCATGCCAGTCAAGTTCTTCCACACCAAATTCACTCATCCATGTCTTTATGGACCTTGCTTTGTGCACTGGTGCACAGTCATGTTGGAATAGGAAGGGGCCAAGCCCAGCTCCTGAAAAACACCCCCACATCATAATCCCCCCTCCACCAAACTTTACACTTGGCACAATGCAGTCAGACAAGCTGCAGAAAGTTGGCGACCTCTGTGCACTATACGTCTCAGCATCCACTGACCTCGCTCTGTGATTTTACAAACCCGATTCCAAAAAAGTTGGGACACTACAAAATGTGAATAAAAACAGAATGCAATGATGTGGAAGTTTCAAATTTCAATATTTTATTCAGAATACAACCTAGATGACACATCAAATGTTCAAACTGAGAAAATGCATCATTTTAAGGGAAAAATAAGGTGATTTTAAATTTCATGGCATCAACACATCTCAAAAAAGTTGGGACAAGGCCATGTTCACCACTGTGTGGAATCCCCTCTTCTTTTTATCACAGTCTGCAAACGTCTGGGGACTGAGGAGACAAG